TACATAAATCGGGTAGCACATCTGACCCTACTAACTTTAGACCTATATCCGTGCTACCTACGTTTAGTAAGATTTTTGAAAAAATCATGCTGGATCAAATACAAACGTACTTTTACAAGAATAAGCTTATGAATCGACAACAATTTGGTTTTACAAGGGGTCGCTCGACAACCGAAGCCGGTGTCGAGTTAATACATGAAATTTTTAATGCCTGGGAGGATTCACATGATGCGTTAGGTGTTTTCTGTGACCTATCTAAGGCATTTGATTGTGTTTTTCATGAAACATTGATTAGGAAACTGCATTTTTATGGATTTAGAGATAACTCATTGGATTTTATTGTCTCATACTTGACTGACAGAGTACAGAGGGTTGATATCAATGGCAAAAGATCCCCTGGATCGAAAATTAAGATGGGCGTTCCGCAGGGCTCAATACTTGGTCCTTTCTTGTTTTTGATTTACATAAATGACTTGCCTTATTTCGTAAGGGATGATCACGAAATAGTTTTGTTTGCGGATGACACTTCACTCTTGTTTAAAATTAAAAGAGGGTTACCTCTAAATGACGATGTGAACAATTCTATCGCTAAAGTAGTACATTGGTTTAATGTAAATAATCTTCTCCTTAATGAAGGAACTAATGTTAAAAAAGTAGATATAAATGTTAATGTAAAAGATAAGAACATGGGCCTTGTGGATACCACAGTATTTTTAGGAATAACATTAGATTCTAAACTACAGTGGGGCCCACATATTGATAGATTGTCGAGTAGACTTAGCTCTGCAGCATATGCCGTAATGAAGATACGTAGGTTAACTGACATAGATACTGCCAGATTAGTATACTTCAGTTACTTTCATAGTGTTATGTCGTACGGTATCCTATTGTGGGGAAATGCTGCCGACATACAAACAATTTTTGTGCTTCAGAAAAGAGCAATTCGATCAATTTATAATCTTAGGATTAGGGACTCTTTAAGGGAGAAATTTAAGAAAATAGACATTATGACTGTTGCTTCTCAATACATATACGAGAACTTAATGTACGTTCGTAAAAATATTAGTTTGTTTTCTATAAAAAGTGATGTACACAATTTTAATACAAGAAATAAAAATAAATTAACGGTGCCTGTCACTATACTGCAAAAAGTTAATAACTCTTTCAAGGGTCTTTGTGTGCGCTTCTACAATAAGGTCCCAAGCAAAATACAACAATTAGATATCATGCAGTTTAAATCTACTATTAAAAAAATACTTATTAAAAAAGCTTATTATAAGGTATCCGATTATATAACAGATAAGAACGCTTGGACTTGAGATGATCCAGCAACTGGATAGGTGATTACTTCTAAACTCATTATCTTGTTTCCATTATTATTAAATGATTATGTTATTATTATAAGACCATATTTTTTTTTTATCTCTGTTTATAATGTATTGATCTGGTAATGACATGGTTTTTGTAAATGTCATTAGCTGGTGAGTTTCTTGCTCGTTCTTCTTATCAGCCAAAAGACGTCCTGAACGAGTGGTAGGGAAAAAATGTTGGACGATTCAAAAGTACTTTTAAGAAGTCTATTTGAATAAAGATTATTTTGACTTTGACTTTGACTGGAAACCTTGATCATGATGAAGGCGCCCTGAAATATGAAAAATCAATAAAAGAAGTAAAATCATAATTCAAACGATGCAAAACTGAAGTTGATCACTGAAACTGTACAAGCACTAACTAACTCTACATTGAAGATAAATAATAATATCGGCAAATTAAATAAAGAAATTGTAGACACAGTTAAAAATATTAGTAGAGGATTGAAAAGAGAACACTTTGAAATTCAGATTATAAGTACATATAATCTATTATTCCATAATTTCCAAATAATATATGCTAAAGTAAATGAAATAGAAACTTGTTTTGCGTTAAGTAAGTTAGGTATATTACATCAGTCTATAATAGAGTCCGACAAACTTATAAGTAACTTATAAAAAATAAGTAGGATAGAAAAGTTAGTATATACACCTTGCGTAGCCAATTTAGTTAAGATAGAGCAGACTATTAATATCAAAGCTTATTTCAAAGACAATAATATCCTTTTGGAAATACCTTGAATAGAAAAAGATACATATATCTATTATAAACTGAACTATAAAATGAATCCACCATCATAATCATACCTTTCATCCGTACCTCTTAATGAAAGGGTCGAAGATCAGGTTGCTCAATCAGCCCTGTCAAGAAATCGAAGAGTCCAGTTTTGGACGTTTCCTACCACAATTAGGTTCGTTCCGAATATTCAACGAACGAAAATGTTTGACATATTTATTTTCTAAACCTACTTCACGAAATGACGAAACGAACATTTGAGTTTGACATCTAAATGTTCGGAATTCTTACCTCAAATTGACGAAGTAAAAAATGTTACCTTTTCATTTTCGTTAGCAATTTTTTATTTTCGAAATGGGGTCTATATTACTATTAATCGAGTCAGCTCTCAGTAAGGAACGATTAGATCGTAGAAGAAATCGGTGGCGGCTTCGAAATAGCCTTAATATAAGAAATATTCTCGACACTCAGTTTGTAAATAATTACAGTCTCAGTTGTGAATTATTTCAAGAACTATGCCAGGAGATTATACCTTCACTTTCACGTCCACAGGCAAGATCTCATGCCATCGAGTCCACAATTAAAGTTGGTAGATATTTCATCGTAGTTCTTGATAAAAAAATTGCATGCCTACCATTATGCATTTCATATTTTTATGATTCTTACAGCGTTGAATTTTTATGCTCGAGGTAGTTACCAAGGATTCATATCTCAAAACATGGATGGGCTTATGGCCCAACAAACAGTTTCACGGTGTTAGGAGGTTAGGACTGTTCTCAATTTACCAGATAGGTATTATAAGAAAATATATTATTCCCTCAAAACCAAAATGAAAGGAATCTTATTAAGAGACAGTGAGTACCTAATAGTTTATTGTTTATTTAGGCTTTATGTATGAATTGTGAATAAAAATACCTATAGAATTATGTCATTAACATTACAGATTTTACGAGGCATATAGGCTATGCCATTATACCTGAAAATTATGACTGATCTAAAAAGTAAATTTATTACTAAAAACCTTTTTTGTGCCGAAAAACTAAATATTAGTTTCATACTTATTTATAAAGTTTTTTACTGAATTGTCAAGATAAATTTCGGAACTCACAATAATTAAATAAAATATTAGTAAACACTGAACAGTTTGGTGAAACTTGTAAAACTTTTGGCGGGATGAGAAACGTTTGTATTATACGGATATTTAAGATTACCATACGTTGATTATAGCCATCGTATAAATGAAAGGTTGTTTTTAAATATGTCGGTTAATACTGTGGATAAAAGAGGCCTTTATAGTGTCTTGATCAGTTGTAATGAAAAATATAATTCATTAATATACTTAGTTTTTCGTTATATTATTATAATATTTTATGTTTAAACAATGTTTAGCCACTAAAATTTTATTTAAAAGAAATAAATGTATTGTTTAATATTATATATTTCAAGTTACGGTAAAAACCGGAATTGACATTATAAGAAATCCAATAACGCCATTCACTCCAATCGATCACGAAAATTTGGAATCGAACATTCGTTGGTGTATACGAAAATGATAAAGAGTAGCGTTACATGCGAAAATTCGTTTTAATTTCGTTCGTAAACGAAATTTCGTTTTCGAGAAAGCGAGTAGGCCTCCAGATACAAGACATAGTCCTGAAAATGCATCAGATAAATATAGAAATTATGAAAGGCTACCAATAATGAACTTACCTTCAGTATACTTCTCTGATCAAGCCGCATCTTCAAAACCCTTAGACCTAGAAGGAATTGACCTGGAAGAATTAAAACTTCTGTCTTTCGCGCTCAAGAAAGGGCAATTATAGAGGTGAAAAGTGTGAGCGTTTGGACACTGATAGTCTATATCTTACTTATGGTAATACTCTGTATCATAGTTTATAAGTATCGTTTAAAATATTTTAAATTCTGTGCCCCAAGTTCTCCCCAAAAAGAGAACCTCGATCTCAAGGAGGGAGGAGTTACACCTGGCGACTCTACCATGGCTCCAAGTCAGCAAAACATATTTTGAGAAACCAGACGCTGAGTCGGCAAACGTCTCCAGGGTGTTCGTCTGGTAGATTATTATTGTACCATGGTTTAAAGTTAGTCTTCGACACAGCTTTGAGACGAATATACGTCTAAAAATAGAATACTGTATTTTTTAAAAAGCTCCTCCGCCTCGCCTACTACTTAGATAAAAGCAGTATAGATACAAGCATGATTCAAGTGTAATCAGTGCTCATAGTACTAGATATGCCTCGTAATTGCTGCTTTTGATGCGAGGTAGATATTATAAGTCGTTAGAAAAGCTGCAGATTGGACAAATATTTCTAAACAATGATATTTTATAAAAAGTAATTTTAAAGTGCAAAACTTCTGTTTCTGTTTATTTGGAAAATTATAAAAAATATCCACATCGGCATTTCAATCCGACTAATATTATTTTCCTTTTTTATGATGTTTCATTTTTTGTCTGTGTATAATTTTCAGACGAGTGTCAACTCTACGATTAGAAATATTATTCTATGCGCCAAGTAGATTATACCTATCTCTTTCTATTACACGCGAGCTGGATGTTTCATCTCTATCGTTCGATTTATACGTGCTACTTGTCCATGAGTGCAGCTTTAGAGTACGCGGCACAGATATCACCGCAAATTAGTATGAACTTTAGAAACAATGACATATTAAACAAAGATACGTTACTTTGTTTAATATGTTATTGTTTCTAAAGTTTTATTATAAAAGAGAATCCATTAGTGAGAGTATATTGTACAATTTGCAAATGCTATAATTCAATATATTCATTATTAGGCTATGTCAACAAACTCGATTTTCACTCGATTTCGACATTAAGATAAAAATACGTAGTTAAACAAATTATAAATACTAGTACATTATTATTATATTTGTTTCTTATATGCAGAGAAAAAGGCGGTAGGCAAAAAAAGGAAAAATCTCCTCCTTTTATTTTGAGCCTAAAAATTAGAAAAATAGTGTGTTATATCTCAAATAACTGTTTAATTAACAGTATAACTTACTTTTTACATAATAGTTTGTTAGTAGCTGATTCTGATTAGACTTCAATCCATCATATTCCTGTCACCACATTCAATCTCACAATATTGCACTATTTTCACTGTATACTTAAGCTTTTTTCACTATGGCAAATGTTGCGGCTGTGTTGGAAACCCAAAAGTCATTGGAGGCTATGCTGTTGAAGAAGATGAGTGACATGGAAGCTCAGTTAAGATCGGCATCCTCCATGCAGGATACAGACATAATCGGTGGGATTGAGGAAGAGTTTAAGCGCTTTTTCTTTACTTCATCAACAAATCAATGAGATTCTTAGGTCTCTGGATGTGACCGAGATGCGACACCGTAAGAAATGCCTTCTTTTGAGTGGAGTCTCTGAGAATGATGAAGAAAACTTAACCCTAACAACGGTATCCATTTTCCAGAGGCATCTTGGACTCACGGATTTTAAGAGTGTGAATTTAAAAGTCTGCTATAGGCTGGGTCGCTTTGGCGAAGGGCACTCACGCCCTATTGTTATTCACTTTGCAAACGAGGCATCCAAGTTAACAGTTTGGAAAAATAAAACCAAATTTAAGGGCTCATCTCTGGTTGTACGTGAGTTTTTAACAAAAAGTCGTCAAGCAACATTCAAGGCCGCTCGAGAACACTTTGGCATGAGCAACGCTTGGACATTGGATGGAAATGTATGTATCTTAACTCCTGATGGCAAAAGGATACGCCTTACAACAATGCAGGAACTGGGCAAGATCACAGCAAAGTTCCCGAAACCTTCTACTTCTGCTAAGGTTATTGATTCTGCCATATCTCCATACTAAGACGGTCCAAACTCGGGCCAGACGAGTAAATAAAAAGAATTAGCTCTGTTCTATAAAGTATCTGCTTGTTCTTATTTACATATTAGTTAATCTGTATCATTTGTATAATCTTTGTCTAAATATGAATTTTTGCAATCGAATATGTGAACCATACATATAACTTATTATTTCTTGTATCGTTGGGTGACTCTGTTTCATACTTGCGATGTTTTGCTGGCTACTGATAAGTTATAACTTCTAATAAGAACTATTATGATGGAACTTTTGATGGCAGTCGGTAAACTTACAACTTTAATTTTTGTGCAGGTCACTCTTTGTTTTATATTATTTTGTAGTGTTAATATTTGATAATATGCAGGTATTGTTTGATTTTGGTCACAATGTTTGTTTCTAAAGTGTTAATTATCTGACAATGAGTTATAAGACATTGACAGTGACATATCAGTGTCCGGTAATAACACTTTCATGCTGTCAAGCATATTAGGCAAAGGTGTACGACTCATGCAGCCATAAACTATCTGCCTTAAAATGTAAGGGAGCGTTTATGCGGGGTTAGTGTCCATAACTTTTTGCTATTTCAACGTTTACATTCTACAACACCAACATGCCTGTTCTTGAGGTTGGATACTGGCCCCGTGGGTTGCGTGGCCCAGTTCAAATTTATGACAGATATCTCTTGCCAATTTTTGAATAGATTAATATTTTTTTTTGTTTGTAAAAAGTCTGCTGGCAGGATGTGTTGGTTTTTGATTTGACGAATTATTATCAGTGTCAGTAACATAGTTCTATAGATTTTTTTTAATACTTCTATATAAGTTTTTATTATATATATTAATTTATATCTTATTAGTTTTATAGTATTCTTATAATTATTATTATATATTAGTATTTCTGAATGTAATTAGTTACTGAATATCTGATTTGGATTTTTATGCTTCTGCTAGTGTTACTTCATCGTACCATTCTCTCGATGATTCATTTGATCTTCGCAGCTCCCTTATGCATGAACTTGAGCATTGTCGTAATACTTTTAATACTTGCCATATCAACGCTCAAAGCATTCCTAGGCATTATTCTGATTTGCTGCATACGTTTTCTTCCGACACGGTTCACGCTGTCCTAGTGTCAGAGAGTTGGCTTAAGCCATGTCTGTCTTCCTCGTCCTATAAACTCTCAGGATACAACCTTATTCATAATGACTGTATGAATAGGGGCGGTGGGGGGGTAGCTATATACTTATGTAGCTCTTTTTCTTTCACTCAGTTAGCTTCTTCTTCCTCGCGTCCTGGTAACGTTGAATATCTTATCCTTGAAGTCGACGTTAAGGGTGCCAAGGTTGTCCTGGGAGTAGTATCTTGTCCGCCTTCTATTGACTATCTAACCGATTTAGACTTCCTTCTTAATTCGGTCGCAACTGACTACTCTCATCATATAATTATGGGGGATTTCAATACTGACCTTTTAAGAGACACTGCCGCCACTCGTAAGTTACGATCCTTAATTGAGTCGGTTAATCTTTCAGTTCTTCCTCTTGACCCCACTCATCATAATCTTACCGCCTCTGACTCGCCGATTGATCACATTTATACGTCTTCTGCAGATAATGTCTCCAAACATGTCCAACTATTAGCGCCTGGCTTCTCCAGGCACGACCTTATATTTTTGGCTTACAAAGCAAAAGTTTCTAAATCCAAACCTATTTTAGTAGAGATGCGCAATTTCACAAGGTTAGATGTGGATAAAGTCAAGGCGGACGCGTATGCTATTGACTGGACTCATATTCGCGAATCAACTTCTGTCGAAAGTATGGTGAATCTATTTAATAATTTGGTCCTACAGATTTTCGATAAACATTCACCTAAAAAGCACGTTAAAGTGAGGAGACCTCCAGCGCCATGGATCACTCCTGGTGTGCGTATGGCCATGAGATGACGCAATAATTGCTTCTGCGCTTTCAAAAGATGCCGTACTGATTTTACTGGAGCGCTTTTAAATCTGCCAAGAATCGCTGCAATATGATGGTAAGAGCCGCAAAACGCCAATACTTTCATGACAATATTGTAAATTCTAATCTAATCTTCGAATAATATATAATTCTAATCTTGCCTATACGTGGAAGTTTCTTCGTTCTTTGGGTTTCGGTAAAAGGCCTACTCGGTTTAGTCTATCTTGCTCGCTGGATGAACTTAACAAGCATTTCACATCTGTTGCCCCTATTTCTGACTCTATTGTTAATTCTACTATATCTTCTTTTACTTCCACGACTCCTTCTCGTTCCGAATCATTCTCTTTCAGGCCTTTAACTGAAGAAGTTGTTCGTAAGATCATAGTATCCATCAAATCCAAAGCTGTGGGCAATGACGATATTGGTAGAACAATGATCGTGCTCAAACTTGATTGTGTCCTTCCTGTTCTTACCTTTATTCTAAACTACTCCCTCTCCTCTGGCAAATTTCCTACCACTTGGCAAAACTCCTTCACTCTCCCACTACCTAAAATACCTAATCCTTCTATTCCAAATCATTTCCGGCCCATTTCTATTCTACCCTTTCTGTCCAAATTTTTAGAGGCTGATGTTCATAATCAACTCTCATCATATGTGTCCTGACTGAAGTTATTGAGTCCCTTTTCAGTCCGGTTTTCGTCCCGGACATAGTACTTCCACTGCTCTTCTTAATATCTTAGAAGACATTCGGTAAGGCATGGAACACTCGAGGCTTACAATTATGGTTCTGATAGACTTCTCTAACGCCTTCACCTCTGTTAACCATGAGATTCTTCTTGCCATCCTTACTCACTTCGGACTTTTTTCTACGGCTCAGGCATGGTTCTCGTCCTATCTTCGTGGACGCCGACAGGCTGTGCGAGTTAATCAGAAAACTTCTGATTGGCTTGACTTGACTGCCGGTGTCCCACAAGGCGGTATACTTTCTCCTCTTCTTTTCTCGTTATGTTAATTAACTCTCTTACTTCTCGACTTCAATCTTCTTATCATTTATATGCAGACGATCTCCAGATATATGCTCAGGCAGACAAGAACCACATTAACGATGCTATTCTGTGCCTCAATCAAGATCTTATAGGCAGTTCACGTCAATTGTCGGTTATTGATATGAACACTGTTACTCCTCTGCTGTATAATGGACAAGTCATCCCGTTTCCGTCCAGTATTAAAAATTTAGGTCTTCACATTGATTGCTCTCTCAACTGGGAGGTGCGGGTTGCTGAAATGTGTCGTAAAGTTGTGAATACGCTTAGATCACTATATAGACTTAAATTCTTTCTCCCATATTGCACCAAAATTAGTACAGACCCTTGTTTTCCCGACTACGCTAATATCTGTTATTCTGACACTAGTCAATTTCTTCTCAACAAATTGGATCGTTTGCTTAATAGCTCTATTCGGTTTATATTTGGCCTTCGTAAATACGATCACATCTCTAAATACAGGAAACTACTCGGATGGTTAACTATCCACCAACGCAGGAACTTGCAAGTTGTCTGTATGCTTCTCAAAATACTTTACGATCCATGTACCCCTGGATATTTGAAGTCTAGATTTCAATATCTTGGTTCCAGTCATCAACGTGATCTTCGCTCTAGTAGCAACCTCATTCTTCAAACTCCCGTTCATCATACTGATTTTGTTTCCAAATCATTTACTCTGACAGCTATTCGCCTTTGGAATGTTCTCCCAACTCATATTTAAACTGCTCAGAGTAGAATGGTTTTTAAGAGATTGGTGCATGAGCACTATATTTATTTATAATTATTACATATGCGTTCTGTATTCTATATGTTTTATATTTTATCTATATTTACATATATATTTGTTTTGGTATATATAGTATTATGCTTTTATCAATTTGTTTGTTGTAATAATTTTTTGGCCACTGTTTTTTTTTGTGTTTTGCTTTTTATTCTTATCACCTAACATCCTGACTCCAACATCTGTCACTGGTAGACTGGCAGAGAATGCCTTTGGCATTAAGTCCGCCTATTGTGTTAAAATGCAATAAAGAATAAATAAATTATAAACACGGCTTCATAATGAGGTACTGTAACGTCCGTGCACATTACTATAGGTAGAGTTTACTCTTCGTACGGTTTATGGTCAATGCTGGCCGTTAATATATTAAATTATTACTTTTTCTTATTCGAATTCGCCTGTTCGTGTTTTACTGGTTGTCAATCTTTCTTTCTGATCGAGACTTGCTTAAGGTGAGTATCATAGTTTTTGGTTGTAAGTTATTTAATGTAATACTAATTGAAAATAAATCTACCAGTTTTTTCATTGCGCCACCCACCTCCACAAATAGACTAAGTGTTCTAAATAAGACTAACATAGAAATAAAATATATGAATCCAACATCCATTAAATTTTTTTTCTTGCAATTCAAGATATTATTAAAAAAATTTACGATAATAGATGATAGTCCATCTTTAAACATATAAGACTTATTTAAAGGAGAATGTCAAAATACGGCTTGACGCAGACAAGCAATTCATTATGATTGCAATTTATATTTTATTATTCTTCAAATTATCAACTATTAATAGATTTAAAAAAAGCACACCGTTACGAGTAATTTTTGTAAAGTTAATCAACGACTATAACATGAAAAGTACGCCATTTACAAAAAAAATTGCCAGTAAAAAGTTAAAATGCCTAATCTGTCGAAAATCGATAAGTCCGCAATTTGTACTGTGTGCAAAAAAGTTTAAAAAAAATAAAATCGATAATCGTTATGAATTAATCATTAGTTGTGAAAGTGAATAAAAATATAATAAATACGTCATCTTATAATATTTTTCTCTTTGGTATTGCACAAAAATATTTGTCCTTATTATGTTACATAACTGTAATTAGTAAAGATATAATAATGGTTGCCTGGAAGAAATCGCTGTTCAGCGATAAGGCCGCCCATTGCACAAATGTAATTAATTAATTTATTTTTTGTTCCTTGCAATGTATTTATTTTTACTTTTTTTTTGTGCAAAACAAGTGTAAAAAAAAAATAATCATGGTATAATATATTACTGATTATTAATTAACAATCGATTGAAAACAATTTAACATCCAATAATGGCAACATTTTTTTTAATTGTCATAGTCAATAGCAAACATTACTTTGTTGTTCAGTGCTTTCTGTTGTTTTTCGTTTTTATTCTATCTATTGACCCGGCTTTTAACTTTGGCCAGAATCAGTT